GAGAGAGAGAGTGAGTGACGTACCCATGCCCAGACAGACGCCCGTAAGCAGACCTCCAGTAAAGGTGAGCAGCGACATGTCGGCCTTGAACTCCGCCCTCAGGTGTGGCAGCAGCACGCCGTAGCTGTACTCAAGGCCATCCAGGAAGAAGGAGACGAAGAACCCGCCCACAGCCACCGCCCACCCCCACCCACCGTCCGGGGCCACGCCCACTTCCGCTGACGCCATCACGGCTCACCTCACCTCTCTCACTGTCACTGAGGGGGCATTGGTGCTGAGCGTCTGGGGGGAGCTGGGAGGGAGAAATAGGAGGACAATTAGTTTGTGGGTAGGTAGAAAAAGGGAACTCCATCCCCAACCTGCAATATCAAAATCAATGATACCACCCTCAAGCAAGTACAACATTTTAAATATTTGAGGACCATCATATCATCAGATGGGAGATGTCACACCGAAATTAAAAGCTGCATTTGCCAAGCAAAAGCAATCCTCCACAATATGCAACAGATACATGTACTCACAAACGTCAATATGTCACTGGAAACAAGAAAAAGAGTACTTAAAAGTTACATTGAGCCAATCCTATTATACGGGTGCGAAGCATGGACAGTCAATAAACAGCTGGAAAGAACAATTGTAGCGACAGAGCTGTGGTTCATAAGACCCATGCTACGTATACCATGGACAGCTAGAAAAAAAACGAAGAAGTGGCTGCGGCAAATTGCAGACGACAGCTTATGACGAATATATCCGAAAGCAACAGGCAAATTTCATTGGCACACAATTCGGAAAGAAGCACAGGGAAATTAGTAACAACGGGCAAGTTTGATGGAAAGAGAGGCAGAGGCAGACAGAGGGAAAAGATACAGGACAAATCGACAACATGGCTGGGAGCAGCAAGAACAGCTGACACCATCGTTGCAACGCAAGACAGAGAGAAGTGCCAGTCGGCAAGGCACCGGATGATGATGATGATGATGAGGATGAGGATGATGATGATGATGATGAGGAGGAGGAGGAGGAGGAGGAGGAGGAGGTGAATGATGGGAACAATAGTTTCTAATACAGGAACAGAGGAACGAAGGTTGTCACGGTGTTACCATTAGCACTAGTCGGGGGAGAGGAGCTTGGGGGGGGGGGGGGTAGAGAACGGGGAAAGAGGGGAAGGAATATTTTCAGGTGAACTGGAAGGGTAGCAATAACGTTGGGAGAAATGTTCTAAAGTCCAAGTTGATAAGAGGAAGGGTCACCCTGATCTAGAAAGAAACGGGTGGAGAAGCGAATTGGCGAAATGTGCTTTGTTTCCCCACAAGGCAATCGAAGCTACGTCTTCTGAGTACGACTGAGAAACGCTTACCCGCTACACCGCAGACGCCGTGGTTCTGACACAGTCAGGAGATAGATGTTAACTCGACATTCTGTGTGCTTCCACTGCCGAGTAAACATCTCAATGACCACCAAAATGAAAGTTCAGAAATGCTGTGTATGGTCAACCCTTCTATAAATGGCTGTGAATGCTGGACAATCACTAAAGACAGTGAAAATAAAATAGAAGCAACAGACAGGTGGTTTCTTAGGAGACTGCTGAGAATATCGTGGAAGGAAAAGAAATTAAATGAGGGAGTGCTTGATGAAGCCTACGTGGGGCGCTCACTGTTAAAAACAACCAGGAAACGACAAATGCAGTTTTGGGGTATCTGAATAGACATAAAAGGTCTCGGACATCTAGTTCTCACTGGCAAAATTGAAGGCAAACGAGGCAGGGGTAGGCCCAGAGCAACCTACTTAGGAAACCTAAACAAATGGATAATGGGGAAAGATCAGGGAAACGTAGCTGTTTTAAGAGCATCCGAGCAAAGGAATGAAAGGAGAACCATGATTGCCGATGTCTGTCACAGGGTGATCGATTGTGGTCCAAAAACGACACAAACCTTGCACAAGGAATCTGTACTACCGCACACACAGAGACAGCATCCAGAAAGATATCTCTACACACCAAAGTCACACTGGTTTATTCCTTCTTCTTCTTCCTTCTTCTTCCTTCTTCTTCCTTCCTTCCTCCCCCAGCACGTGCCGCGGGCCCGGTCAGAGTGACATGACGATGACCACGGTCAAAGTTCGGACATCAGCTGGCGGGAAGGAAGATAAAGAAATCAAAATACTGGACACAACCTTGGCCTTATCAGCCTATCTGGACAGACCGTTCACGGTCCGGCCAGTCCAAGTCCAGCCAGGTACAGTCCAACTAGGTACCGACCAGACAATCATTAACCCTTTCCTGCCGTGGTGGACATCTGTCCAGTCATTAACCCTTTCCTGCCGTGGTGGACACATGTCCAGTCATTAACCCTTTCCTGCCGTGGCAGACACATGTCCAGTCATTAACCCTTTCCTGCCGTGGCAGACACATGTCCAGTCATTAACCCTTTCCTGCCGTGGCAGACACATGT